TAGAAAAATAAACTGTAGAGAGGGGCATTTTGCTAAATATATGCACCAAATAACATTCATTATAAATGTTACTGTTCTTCAATGTTTAATTTATGTTTGAATAAATCCATCAAGATTTTATGACAGCCACCATGGTTTATATAAAAAAAAAATTGAAGTAGAAATATTATTATGTAATTGTAACTTTATTATTTTAAAAACATTAAGTGTAATTTTTAACAAATCAGTCAGTTTTAACCTTCAATATTATAGTAATGTAGTACCAACTGATGTATATTTTACAGCATTAGTTGAGAGATTTTTTTTCCTTGAGAAAATTTGGCATGTACTGTACCTGATATATATCCAAAATAATCTATATTGAATCGAATCGAATTGGTAATTGAATCGAAAGCTTGTGAATGAGAATCGAATCGTGAAATTTGTATCAAAACCCAGCCCTACTAAATATGTTAAGCTGAATGACGACGGAACATAAATTCACCCATATTTTGACATTGTATTTTTATAAAAGTTATTTGAAACATCAAAGTAGACACTTTACTTGCATATAATATTTGCTTCTGTGTATATAAAAACACTTATGTAAATGCAATTTGATGTGGACACAAAATGGGACGTCTCATCTTTGACCCATGCATGTCTTTTGTCCAGCTATAATACTGGTTCACAGATTGATGGCACATTAATGTCTGTCAAAAATGTTTACATGTGGGAGTAAAGAGTCTTGGTATTGAGCGGGAAACTTACCACCACGTCTGTGCGCATCTTCCCAAAGGTGCTGATGAGGTGGGTGTAGTGATAGTCGTCCATCTGCCGCAGAGTGCCGGTCATACACGCCACAAAACCGCCCTGCAAAGACAGACAGACAGACAGACAGACAGACAGACAGCCGATCAGTGACAGCAGAACACCTAGAGCACCTGTCAATCAAAGCAAAGAGCTGCTGTTAAAGGCCATAAACCCTTCAAAGGAACCACACAAAGCCACTCTACGAGGGATTTCACCGAGAGACAGAACAAAATGAAGGCGTGCAGCAATTTCAAAAAGTATTTCTCATTAACAGCATTTCTGAAATCTGAAACACCTTGAACAAGCAGTGGGAATCAAATCTGTGCAGCGCATTAGAAAATGTCACATTACCTGCTGAAGAAACTATTCAAATGTCATTTATGTAACATTAGAGAGAAAGTTAATAACTCATGCATAACTTATAGTATAAAGCCACTTTTACTATAAAACCTGAAAATAAACAATAAGCAAAGGCATAGTTTCTTTACATAATTTAATCATTATTACTGAGGACATATTTGACCTTCTAGGTAAAATAGATTCACATATTTTGTAATTTCAAGGCAAAATTAAAATCAATCAATCAATGGATTTTTTTTTTACATGTTGAATTTATGCTCAAATATAAAAAATACAGTAAAAAGTAATACTGTGAAATATTATAACACATTTAAATAACTATTTTCTATTTGAATGCATATATATATATATATATATGTATGTATGCATGTATGTATGTCTGTATGTATGTACAATATTACAATTCATAAGTTAAGCACATTAATAACCAGCAATTTCTTAATACCACACTGCAATGTGTAAAAACAAATACAATTATACAAAATATATAAAATATAATATAAAAACAAATTATAAAGAACATTTGTAAAGTACAATTTAAAGTATGCAGCATTTTTTTATGATTTGTATTGCTCTTACAGCAAAACACTTTAAATGTCTTCAAGCATTATCCATTTTCTCTCTCTATCTTGTCTTTCAAAAATAGCCTTTTCCAAAAACAGTTCAATAAAAAGGGTCAGAAATAGGGTGGAAAACTGAAAATTAAGTTTTTGATGGAAGAAACCTCGACTAACATATTATGAGTGGACTTGAGGAAGAAAAGAATAATAATTAAATACGACAAAGCGTAGGAATCCTATTAGTTTAAAAGCCACTTCATTCATCTTCGTTAATTTGCAGCCATCTGAAAGCAGGAAGAACATTTCCAGCAGATTCCACATGAGCAAACACTGCGAATAGCAACCAGCCACACGCAAAGCCTTTGCACTTTGAAAGTGTGACCGGGGCTATTCCGCGTTTCCTTGCGTTCGGCTTTGACTTTCCTGCAGCTGTAATTAGGTCTAGCCTACATAACTCAGCAGAAACACAACACAGCGCATGTTCAAGACAAACTCCCCTCTTTCTCTCTCTCCGTCTCACCTTATGAAGAAAACACTGGAGAGGCTAAGACTGAAGAGGTAAAACTGGGGTCTACAGTTTTTCAGAGTTTATTTTCCTTGTTGTGTAAAGACACAGTAAACACAGTTAGCCTGGAGTGAGAGATTAGCGCCTCGCGGTTCTGCTAATGCAGTTCGATAGCTAATATTTATGTTTACTGAACATCTTATCTGAGCCTTTGTGTTTGAACAGGACTCATAATGACAGACAACACCGGCATCACATACACACAACAGAATATCAATGCCGTGAGGTCAAGATAACCCCGGTTTAGTCCAACGTATCATTTACTCACCTAACTATTAACTTCATAATCAAAAACGATGGTATAAAGTGCTGAAGCAAGACTGTTGTTATTAAACAATTATTATACTGATACCTAAAAACAGAGAAGATAAAATGACGTGAAGGACAAACAACAGGTCAGTTTATTATATGAATATTTAAAGAGTAATTGAGGATTACATGAGTGATTTGGGTGATGGACAGATGAAATTCATGAATGAAAGTGCTGGCAGAAAAAGCCTCAGTAATTCAGAGCCAGAAATGTTTCTTCTACACACAGAGCCAAATCTGAATGAAAGTGCCAGTAAACGCTGGCTTCAAATGAGTCCAAACCAGCAGCCGTTCACCTCCGAAATGAGTGACGTGCAGATATCGTGTCCTGCTGTGCGATCTGAAGGGAGGAATAATAACTCACTCACTCATTCAGCATGTGAAAGCGTGCCATTACTCCTGAAGAAGGATCCTGTTTTTACAAGAAGATAACAGACTCCTGCTGTGTATTGCTCGTGCAGGAATTACACATCATTTAGTTGCTGTGCAGTGGAGACCTTCAATCACCTGATCACATCTGAGACCCAATCTGCACTTCAGAAATGTGTCAAAGAGACAGGATGAACTGAAGATGGTCTGACGCCAGAGAAAAAAACCTCAGACTGGAAGGGGAAAAAGTAGAAAATAAACAATGAATAGATGGACAGAAAAGAAAAAGAATCAAAGAAAAAAAGGACGGATGGATGGATAGACAAAAGATGGATGGAAGAATAAAGGAAAATGGATGAAAGGAATAAAGAACGAGAAATTCATGGAAACAAAAAAGAAAGAAAAATGGTTGGAAGCAAAAAAGAGCAATGAATTGATGGAAGGAAAATAAAAATAAATGGAGAATGAAAGCAAAATGGATGGATGGATGGATGAAAAGGAAAACAATAAATGGATGGAAGGATGGACGGATAGATGGATGAGAGGAAGGTAAGAAAAGTAATAAATGGATGGATAGATGGAAAGAAAACAATAAATGGATGGACAGATGGATGGACGATAGATGGATGAGAGGAAGGTAAGAAAAATGGATGGATGGATGAAAAGGAAAACAATAAATGGGTGGATGGATGGATGGACGATAGATGGATGAGAGGAAGGTAAGAAAAGTAATAAATGGATGGATAGATGGAAAGAAAATGAATGGATGGATGGGATGGATAGAAAGAATAACAATGGGTGGATGGATGGATGGATGGATGGATGGATGAAAAGAAAAACAATAAATGGATGGATGGATGGATAGATGGGAGGAAGGTAAGAAAAGTAATAAATGGATGGTTGGATGGATAGAAAGAATAACAATGGGTGGATGGATGGATAGATGGATGGGAGAAAGCTAAGAAAAATAAATGGATGTTGGAAAGAAAGAAAAACAATAAAAGGATGGATGGATGGATGATGGAAAGAAAAACAATAAAAGGATGGATGGGAGGAAGGAAGGAAGAAAAAAACAAATGGAAAGATGGCTGGATGTAAGGAAATTACAGATGGATGGATGCATGGAAAGAAGGAAGGAAAGAAAAATAGACCAATGGAAGAAAATAATAAATGGAAGGATTGGAAGAAAAAGATGGATGAAAGAAGGAAGGAAGGAAGGAAAACAATAGAAGGATGGATGGATGAAACTGAAAGGATGTAGATGTGCAGCTCTCAGATTGTGACATGAACATCATGAATTAACAGTGATATTATGGAAAAGGCTTTTAATTTAGACCATGTGCTGGTTTAAGTTCAGATGACAGGCCTCCCTCTCTCTCTCTCTCTCTCTTCTCTCTCTCTGAGCGGACGGGAATCCTGCAGCCGATTCACTCTCCTCTCAGCAGAGAGAGACAAAGGCTGCATCCTCTAAGGTTCATCTCATCTGTGTTGTGCTCCTCAACCCGTTGCCATGGAAACTGTTTTCTTAAGGAGGTCGATCAAATAAAAGTCAGAGAGAAAGAATGAGATCTTGCTCCAAAGTTTCCCTGACTTCAGCTCCAGAGATTCCTCAAGGTCAGTCTGTTCCATACAGCAGCGGCCTCAGTCTGCGCAACACCAGCAAATAATCAAGCACACATAACATGTCCAGACACCACTGAAGATCTGGGAGTGGTCAGCACCTTGGATAGTCAATCAGAAAACCAATTAAAGCACCTGTGATCAAGACAGAAAATATGGCTGCATGCAAATTCGCATACTACTAGTCCACACTTACAGTATGTACTTCACTAGTGATTGAAAAGGTTTCAAGTTTGACGTCGGTAAATTTTTTAAATGTTTTTGAAAGAAGTCTCTTCTGCTCAAAAAGACTGCATTTATTTGATCAAATACACAAGTTAAAACAATAAAAAAAGTGAAATATCATTACAATTTAAAATGACTCTTTTCTATTTGAATACATTTTAAAATGTAATTTATTTCTGTGATCAAAGCTGAATTTTCAGCATCATTACTCCAGTCTTCAGTGTCACATGATCCTTCAGAAATCATTCTAATATGCTGATTTGCTGCTTAAGAAACATTTCTGATTGTTATCAGTGTTGAAAACTGTTCTGCTTAATATTTTTGTGGCAACAGTGATACATTTTATGTTTTCAGGATTCTTTGATGAACAAAAACGTTAAAAGAACAGCATTTATCTGAAATAGAAATATTTTGTAACATTATAAATGTCTTTACTGACACTTCTGGTTAATTTAATGCATCCTTGCTGAATAACACTCCACTATGCTACATTTAAATGGAGAAAATGATTTTAAAAAGTTTGTTTAAAGTTACAGTTTTGATCTTTATTCTTGACACTTTAGAACTTAAAATCCAAACACGATAGTGACAAAACTGTCACACATTCACTTGAACGCAATTAAAATATTGCATCGCATGATAGAAACGGCTGCAAAAACACAAATAAATGACCTCCGCTGGTGATAAACGCACACCTGCGGAGCAAAAACTGGCACTGTAGGCATCACTTACAGCCACAATTTGGTTGCAGCACTTCTTTGCTGTCAATCAAACACCTGCAGAGCAAACGGCACATGTCAATTAATGTTGTGGCTTTTATGGTCAGAAGTTGAATATCAAGTAGGAAAATCCCAAACCAGACTTTGAATGGAATGCAGTATCAGCCCAAAAAGCATATATTCTGCATGCACACTTCAAATGCAATGCAAATGCAATCTGGGTTGTTTCAGAATATTGTTTTCAAGATGGAATAGCAGGGAAAAAAGCTTCAGGTCGAGTCAGTTTTATTACAGCGCTGGAGCGTGTTCATTTACAGCTAAATCACACTAATT